GGTTTTGCAGACTGCACTTTCCAGAACACAAATTCTGAGATAGAGACTAACACATAGAATTTATTAAGGAATTTTAGGTGAACAAAATCTGTGGAAGGGAAGGGAATGAAGAGGAAATAGGCAGGAGAGAGGTCGAGATGCGATGCAGTCTCAAAGGAGGTTTCAACCAATTCTGCAGGGAGGTTTTGCAAGTTGGAGCGAGGGGCCTGGACCTCTACAATCCCTGCTCAAGCAGTCATTGCATTGTACAACCCCAAGAAGGCACATGGCCTTGGGTAAACCCTCTTTTTAATTCTGGAAATTCCGAAAGAGGAATTATAGCTAAGTAGTGTCTTCTGGCAACACTGAATTACAGAGGGACTTTTCCTCAGTCATAAAGGCGGACCTGAGTGGCACATCATAACCTCGACCAGAGGTGTTATTAGCAGGGATCATGCTGATATTTCAAAGAGAATTAGCATTTTCCCAGTTTTTTTCACCTTTTTATTATGTATAGTACGACCTCAAATGTGGGTGAGGTGGTGTCCATTAAAGCTGCAAGTCCATTATATAATAAAGTAGGTTTTCTTAATGCCTGTTTTAAAAAAATGACAAATTATTCCTAGAAGTGGGGTCACTGTGGGATATATACTGAGTGGCCAGATTTTTATGATCTCTGAATGAATAATAATCTGGCCACTCAGTTTATAACCTATATAATAAAAGGCTAATATGCACATTGTCCCCTCAACCAGGAGTTCAACCAGCAGGCAACTGCCAATGTTCCTTCCCCCTGGCCAGGCTGGCTGGACCCCCACCCATGCATGAATTAATGCACTGGGCCTCTAAACACACACACACACACACACACACACACACACACACACATATATACACTGAGTGGACAAATTATTATCTGTTCAGAGATCATAATAATTTGGCCACTCAGTGTATGTGGACTCTTATGTTCATAGTGGCACAATTTACCATAGCTAAGATTTGGAAACACCCTAGGTGCTCATCAACAGATGAGTGGATTAAAAAACTGTGGTACCTCTACACATTGGAATACTATGCTGTGTTAAAAAAAAAAAAAAAGGAAGGAATTCTTACCATTTGCAATAGCATGGATGGAACTGGAGAGCATTATAATAAGTGAAATAAGCCAGTCAGAGAAAGATAAATATTACATGATATCACTCATTTATGGAATATAAGGAACAACATAAACTAATAAAACACAGACACACACACACAAAAACAAACAAACAAACAAACAAACAACAGATCCAGATACAGAGAAGCATCAATCAGACCATCAAACCTCAGAGGGAAGGTAGGGGAGGGTGGGGGTAAGGGAGAGAGATCAAGCAAAGGACTTGTATGCATGCTTATAAGCCTAACCAATGGACACAGACACCAGGGGCCTAAGGGCATGAGTAGGGGATGGAGTGGAGGGAGCAATGATTTGATTAGGACACATGTAATATCTTAATCAATGAAGAAAAAATGCAAATAAATATATAAATAATTGACAAATTAGTTTACCTGTTTCCCCTTATGTAGACATGTTTGTATAATTAAAATTAAGTGTGCATGAAAAGTTTAATTTCACAGAATAGTTTTCTATATGTATTACTGTATTTTAAACTTATACTGAGTAAGTCTAGTGAATGCATGCATTCACCCCTCACCCATAGTAAACAGATGGTTTGGGTGTGGCTTAGTGCACATGGAAACATCGGCCTGCATGTGCTAAAACTGCTGCAGAAAGTCACACCAAGGAGCAACAGAGCCAGTTACCATGAGAGATGTGTGATCACATGCTAATCATCTCCCAGACTTTGTTTATGAGTGATGATCTTAGATTAAAATATGTAGACTATAATTGTAGGTATGTAATATTTATTTATATAAACTGCTGCAGTGTTTTTCCCAACATACAGCCTATTAATTAAAATTTGTTAAAAATAACAGTGAATTAACAACCAAAAAATAACCTATTGATTCAATTATAAGCAAATTTTGCTTTAAAGGATTTTAAAATTAACAAAGTGTTAATTTTCACATATGACATACAGACAGGAAATTTTATTTATTAAATCTGAAGTCTGTTAAATCAAGGTCTGTAAAATGGAGAGCTTACTGTATTATCTATAACTTCATGCTACACCACCAGAGTTTTCTACTTATAACAGATATAGTATAGCCTGTAGAGCCTAAACCATTCAGTACTTAACCCTTTTTCAAAGAAAGTTTGCTGGCCCTTGATCTAGGCTTCACAACCATAAAATAATATATCACTTCAAATATAGTCATGCATTTTACTTCTACATCTCTAATTCATTGTTACGGCTTTTATTTTAAATACTCAGTTATCTTTTTGAGAAATTTAAAAACATGATCAAATATTTTATACTTATGGACATATTTACCATGTTCAGCATGTTTCTTCATGGATATATGAGTTTCAATACAGTAATTTATCCTCAGAACTGGAAAACGTCCATTTCTTATAGTACATACCTACTGGTGATGGATTTGCTCAGCTTTTGTCCTAAATATTATTATGTTGCTTTCATTTTAAAGGGTATTTTGGCTGGATATAGAGTTTTTGATTGTCAGCTTCCCTTTATTCTTTTTTTCATCACCTCAGATATGTTGTATTATATTTCAGCTTGAGTTATTTTTGCTCAGATGGTATTGCCCTCTTCTTACATTCAAGATTTTCTCATTAGCATTGTTTTTGTTTATTTGCTTGTTTGTTTTACCAATTGATTATGAGGTTGGTGTGTTTGTCTTTTGTTTATTTTTCTTGGAATCTTGTAAATTTCTCATATATCTAGGGTTATATTTTCAACCATTTTTTCTTCAAATTAATATTTTTCTTCTAATTTCACCTTCTCTTCTTTTAGTATTCCATTTGCATGATTGTTAGGACACAATATTTTCCTATAGATTAATGGAGTGCTGTTCATTTGTAAGCCTTTTCTGAGCTTCAATTTTAAAGTGTTTTTCAACCTCTCAATTTCTAATCTGCTGTTAAGCCCATCCATTAAAAGTTTTATTTCAGATGTATTTTTTGGTCCAAAAACTTTCATTTTTTTCTTTTTTGTTCTTTCTTTTCTCCATTAAGATTTCATATTTGTATCTCCAATATTTATATATTATCGTTTTATAAGTGGCACTAATTTATTGTCTCTTTTTTAAAGTCCTGGTCTGCTAATTTTATCATCTCTGTCATTTTTCAGTCAATTTCTATTGATTGATTTTTCTCTGGTAATAAGTCACTATTTTCCTGCTTCCTCAAATGTGTAGGCCTTTCTTAATGGGGTGTTGAGTTTTGTTTGGCAAGGAGTTATTTATTTGTGGGTAAGTTTGATCTTTCTTCAGGTTAGCTTCCAACCTTTGTTCAGATGTGTGCAGGGAAGCCCATATTTTAGGACTAAATTATTATAACCCCTTTATGAGATCTCTACTAAGCCAGGGTTATTCAACAAGTTTGCTCAAACTTATTTCATCTGAAATCAACCTTGTCTTATCCCTGAGCATCCTCTGGTTACTCATTTGAAAAATTCCCCCCAGGTGGTCTTGAAGAAGGTTGGTTTCAAATACCCAGCTCAATTTTCATCCAGAGTTTGAGCTGTAGAGACTCATTGGTGATCCTGTGCAGCTTCTTAGTGCTCTTTCTTGGCATAGCTGCCTCTCTCTGGTACTCTGTCTTTGGTAGCTATGCTTCAGATTTGTCTTGATCTTAGTGATGCTGCTATTTCTATTTGGGATACTATTTCATGTGCTGTGATCCAGAAGATGAACCAGGCAGAAAGCCAGGAGCTGGCAGTACTCACCTCATTTGTTTATCTTCTCTCATGGATCAGGGTCCTGCACTGCCTGTTGTCCAATCTCCAAAAAGGATAATTTTATACACTTTGTCAGGTTTGTGACTTTTTGTGGTGGGAGAGCTATTCTATCATAGCGGAAAGCAGAAGTAAGCATATAAACATCATTAAATGAATGACCTATCTGTGATGATTTACAAAATGATTTTATTAGCATGGCCCTCATTGAATGAATTTATTGTCAGGCTTTAAATTCCTTATTGAAAATTATGCATATATTTTGGTGTACTCTAAATTGGATAATATGTTGAATATTTTTTCTCTTATTTTCTCACATTAGCAGCCAAACTCACTCAAAAAATTATGTTGCCTGTTAGAACCAAGCATTATGCCATATTTTCTGAAATGTATTTACGTGCAACCACAGTTATTTTACATTTACATAGTGGTATAAATTAGGAGCCTTTTTGTTCTGTATTAGCTCCATATTTCTACTAAATATTTTTGCATTCTTACTATTTACCAATTATTTATTATGTTTTGCTAAAAAAATTTCATTTAATTTAGCAACTCAAATTTTTTTCCTGGAAATGTGATTATCAAGTCATAGGTTATATGTATCTTAAGAGTTAGTGAACATATTACCGAATTTACTACCTTAGTTCTCATAAGTACAGGGACTTAATGTAAGACTATGGCCTCATCTTAAGAACTACTGTTCCTTGAACTCTGACCTTTTGACAGCAAAATATATTTTAGAGTTGTGTATAATTTTTGTTACATTTAAAATCTACTAAAAGATAAAACCTTGTGTGAAGAATTAATAGATTGTTATATATTTTTCCTAGTTATTTTTAGTTGAAGAATTCATGGTAAATTGATCAACCCTCAGCCAATTAGACTTTGACATGTACTAATAAGATCTAATTGAGGAATTATGAAGACATTTGCTCAGGAGAAAATGCGTACATAATTATACCATAAAGAGGTTAGAGCATCACTGTAACCCAGCTGGAAGGATATTAGTGGAAGTCCCAGTGGCATCTGTAAAGGACATTTCATAATATCTGTGTGAAATACAGCACTGCCAAGGCCAATTACAACACAAAAAATAATCCATTGTCAATTATAGAAGTTTAACTTTAAATGTCTATTCTCCCCTTTTGTCTCTACTTTGTTCAGGTGCTGGGGGATGGTCTCCATCTGACAGTGACCATTATCAATGGCTTCAGGTTGACTTTGGCAATCGGAAGCAGATCAGCGCCATTGCAACCCAAGGAAGATACAGCAGCTCAGACTGGGTGACCCAATACCGCATGCTCTACAGTGACACTGGAAGGAACTGGAAACCTTATCATCAAGATGGAAATATCTGGGTGAGTCATTGTGGGAAAGCAAAGACACACAGTTGACAAAGTTGCAGATATGTGACCCTTGATCCTCTCTGCCCTGGTGTGGCCTGGTTGGAGGTTGATCTTGCTGGATTGTTTGTTTGTTTGTTTGTTTGTTTGTTTTTGTTTTTGTTTTTGTTTGATTTTTTGTTATTGTTCTCTAGTACTTGCTAAATGAGAAAGAAGTGCAAAGAAAGGACAAGGAGGTGAGAATACAGATCCACACTGCCGTGTGCTCACCCTGCACCATGCCTTTCTCATAGTTGGGGGGAAATCTTTTCTTTCAAAGTGAACACATCCTCTTCCCCAAGTTCTAGTGTATTTCTAGGCAAACAACACCTTCCAATAAAACTTTGTTTAAACTTTAAAAAAATAATTATGGGGTAAATAACTTAAAGATGATAGAACACTATAATTTCTTGAAACACTATATTTTTAGTTACTATATTTTTGTCTGGAGTATATCTGAAATGGTACAAATTGGTCCCAAATCCTGAACCATGAGTTAATAAATAAAATTAAAAAATAATTGCCCTGACATAGGTTTCCAATTTTTACTATCACTCACTTTTAATTCCCATATTTTAATTGATTTTAGTAAATTTAAAATATTTAAAAATCTGAAAATCAAGTGGTATTTGACAGATTAATTTTGTAATTTCTTGATAATTGGAGTAGTGTGCTCTCTGCTTTATTCTTTAAAAAATATATATATATATATATGTATATATATTATTGATTTTTTTTTTTTTTTTTTTTTTTTTTTTTTTTTTTTTTTTTTTTTTTTACAGAGAGGAAGGGAGAGGGATAGAAGTTGAAATGTCAATGAGAGAGAAACATCAATCAGCGGCCTCCTGCACCCCCCCCCCCGGGGGATGTGCCTGCAACTAAAGTACATACCCTTGACTGGAATTGAACCTGGGACCCCTCAGTCCCCAGGCCAACTTTCTATTCACTGAGCCAAACCAGTTAGGGCTCCACTTTATTTTTAACCAAAGATTCAATCAATCAATATTTGCAAAATAAAAGTTCTCAAAGTATTTCTCTAGATTAGCCTCTATAACCAGATGTTTGGCTAGTGAAAGCCAAGGTAAACATTTAAAAGTCTGAATTCAGTCCTGCATGTTTGGTTCAGTGGATGGATTATCAGCCTGCTGACTGATGTCCCAGATTTTATTCCGGTCAAGGGTATGTACCTTGGTTGTTGGCACATCCCCAGTAGGGGGTGTGCAGTAGGCAGCAGCTTATTTATTTCTCTCATCAATGTTTTTAACTCTCTATCCCTCTCCCTTCCTTTCTGTGAAAAATCAACAATATATATATATATATATATATATATATATATATATAGTCTGAATTCAAGTATCTAGTTTCATTGATTTTGTTTATAAACTCAGAGAAGTCACTCTGTGTCTCAGGTTCCTAATCTGAGAAAGCAATAACACCTATTAGGAGATATAAATGGGATTATATAAATAAAGAAGTTTTGCTGAATTGCCTGTCTTAGAAGCGTTCTGCAAAGCCAGGGTAGTATTTTTCAGTGAGAATAGTCACTCATGATAATTTTCAGATTTTTTTTTTTTTAGTCCCCTTCTTTCCTTACCTTTTACTCTTCTTGATTGAAAATAACTGAGAATATTTTAGATGAAAGAAACATGACTTAAAGTAGGAGTTGTAATGTGGAAAAATTGTGGCATATTTTCCGCTTAACAAATGAAGTGGCCACTGGTGGGCAGTGAGTATAGGCTGGGCTTGGGAGGCATGGCAGCGTGCAGACCCAGCTCTGTGCCAAGTGCCACTGACGTGCTTGTAACAAATTATCTGCTTACCTACCGATGCCCATGTGTGCAATGAGCCATGTAAGGGGATACTGTTTAAAATGAAAGGGTTATTCTGTCCTATCGTTTCAACCATTTGTTGTAGTGGTTGCACTAATTTTCCAAATCACTTAAAAATATGTTCTAGTTATAAAGGTGAAGCATCATTGTTTCACAGTTCAGTAGTATATGGAGATTCTTTCAAACAGATCTAGAATGTTTTCCTGCATGTGAAATTAAGATGACCTCTATCCGGGTGTCTTGGTCATATAGCTGCCATCAGATGATAACATCTTTGACTTCACTTAGGACACTGACACAGCACTTTTTCAGAAATTGATGGGAATTTTCTTTGCTTGTTTATGAATACAACTGCACTGTAGCTGCCATCAGTCATTAGGGAAAGCCCCCAGTGGGCACATTTGAAGAAATTTTATCAATACTATAGTAGCTTATTGAGAAATAAAACACATCGGAGTTATCTGAATTAAACCCTTTCTAACATGACTGTTGGCATAAATGGGGTAAAAACTTTAGGATTTGTACAGAAGAAAACCATTTTCAAGGTGAATTTATTCTAAGCTTTTTATTTCTCTGAAATAGATTTTTCTGTTTACACCTCTCTCAGGCTGGGTGATATTTTAAAAGTCTCATGAATTTTAATAAGTCTAGAGGATATTGCAGATCCTTTTGCATATACTGTAATGCCTCTACTAGTGAATTTTGATCACCTTCCTAAATTCACATTTGTATTGTGAGAGTCTTATTTTAAGAGGTCATGAGACTATGTCTTGTGCCAATTTGAGAAGCATTTAATATTCTACACATATCCAAATAAATAGAACTATTCTCAACAACATGGTTATGTATTTGCTTTTTACTAAAAATTTAGAATAGAAAAATCAGATGTTTTTAATAATAATAATAATGGCATACAACGTTAAGTAAAGGAAAATGATTAAATGTATATTATAAAGTTTCTTAGATACGATAAAATATAGAATATAATTGTTCACAGTTCAGTGCAATTTTAATCTGAGATGAAGTAGGATATATGAAATCATTGTTCTAGAATGTTAAGAATATTTGATTGCTTGGAAGCTCTCTGGAAAGGAAAGGGCTCTGAATACAAATATTCTTAGTTGCTTATTTTACTCTGGACTCAAATAATAGGGATGCTAATATTATTACTAGAGATAGCTTGGATTCAGGTGGCATGTGGCTAAATGACTTCAAGTGAATGCAGTTTTTATGGAGTATTGATAGATAGGTTCCTACAAATATTTTGAATAAAATATTAATTCCCCCATATAAGATGAATGTCTCTGCTCAAGCGGTAGCTTAGTGGAAGTTGGAGGAATATTAGTATGCCTAACAAGGGAATTTAGAGCGGGAGAAACCAGTACATTGTGTGGCCATGGCTCCTGGAAGCAGTGAAAGGAACAGCTCTGAGATGCACTCTGGAATCAGACTAATAGGCCCATCATCAAACTTCCTTTACATAGATCTGTGTAACTTAGGGCAGATTCCTTAAGCTTTCTGTGTCTCAGTTTCCTCATCTGTCCAGTGCAACTAATAACAGTCCTCACTACACTGCAGTGGTACCTCCCTCAATAGAGATTACAGGCATTGAATTACGTGAAGTGCTTAGAAAAATGTCTGGCACCTATTAACCACTCTATTATATTTGATAAAAGTGAGACTTCCAGGTGCATTGCTAGAGTATATTGCATTGACTCTGTCCTTCAAAATTCAAAATAGCCTGCTATTTTACTCTACAATAGCCTTTCTGTACTAATGCATTGGCATATGTGTTGTATTACAACTGTACTTCTTAGCCTGAAATGACTATTAACTCATTTCTAAGAATAATTGGGAATGCTAATCTAATTTATGACATTTGAGTCATGATCCTATTCACCGACACATGGAGTCTCATGCATCACAGTATAAATCATGTCTGGATAGTTAGTTCACATTCTGGGCAAGATGGAACTGGGAGGGTGTGAGATTTTATTATGCTACTTGGAACAGTGCACAGGTTAAAACTTATGAAGCATCGAACAGACTGTCAGACTACAGCGGGAAGGTAGGGGAGAGTTGCAGGGGGCGTGGTGGTAAGAGATCAACGGAAGGACTTGTATGCATGCATATAAGCACAGCCAACAGCTGCAAGACACTGGGGGTAGGAGGAGGAGGGTAAATGCTGAAAGGGTGGGTGGGTAAGAGGAGCTGGGGGAAGGTCAGTGGGCGAAAAAAAAAAGAAAGACACATATACTAATATTTGTAATATCTTAAACAATGAAAAAAATTTAAAAGGAAATAAAATGTATGAATATTTTGGGGGGAAATTTTTTAAAATATATTTTTATTGATTTCAGAGTGGAAGAGAGATGGAGAAAGAGAGAAACATCAGTAATGAAAGAGAATCATTGATATGCTGCCTCCTGCATACCTTTCACTTAGAATCGAGTCTGAAACCTGGACAGGTGCCCTGACCTGTAATAGAACCATGATCTCTTGGTTCATAGCTAGGAGCTCAACCACTGAGCCAGGCCAGCTGGCCTATTTGTGGATTTTTTTAATTTAAAATTTCAAACCACAGCTGTGAGTATCTGAAACCCAAAAAAGGACTGGGAGTGGGGAGCAATATGCTGGTTAGCCAAGCAAGTGGACAGTCTGCAGACAGAATAAGAGGCTCCTCTGAATGTCAGATACTCAAAGCATGTCTGTGGACCAGTAGTATCAGCATCGCTATCAGAGACCCTCCCATGCTTTTCAAATCAGAATCTGCATTTTAACAATATTCACAGATGATTCGTATATGTGTTAAAGATAGAATGTGTTCTCAATATTTGAGAAGCTCTCACGGGAAAGATAAATGAGAATTGTTCTTTGTGTCTCCAAACCAAAACACAGGAGTAGAAAAAGTAGAATTCACAGTGCAAATTGCACACCAATTTATGGAAAAGAGAATAAACTGACAAGCAGGCACTCACTGAGTAGCTACCAATTATTGAGAGTTGAAGATAAACACAATGACTGCCTTCTAGAGACAAAAAAAAATTAGGGTGGCAGTGCTAAGTACTGTATAAATTTAAAATTACAGTGTAGAACTATATGTATCTTAATGGATAGAGCTTTGCACTGGTTGTTCTGGGAAACAGA